TTCATAAATATTATGGATTCTGTAGAGGACTACGCCAGGCGATGGGCCAGACATGAAAAAGAAGACCTTGACACTTTGTCAGAATGGATTAAATGTATCAGATGTATGTTAAAATCGCGCATTAAAAGATTGAGAGGCAATATGAAAACCATCTATCCTTCTGTATTCAATAATCCAGAAGTGAAAAAAAGAATTAGATAGATTACATGATCAGTACGTACTGGTCCCTGCTGACAAAGCAGGTAACAACATTGTCTTTGTTTGTAAGGCTCATTATATTAAATGTATTTTAGAGGAACTTGGATTTAATTCTACAAGTGGTAATCCAACTTATACTCATAGTTCCCTTTCTAAGGAAGAAATTCTTCAAAATCATATGTCAGTTTTGAATATTTTTAATATTCCAAACAAAATGAATTCGAATTACCATATTTATATTGGATTCCGAAACTTCATAAAAATCCTCACAAACAAAGATACATAGCGGGTTCCAGTAAATGTTCAACCAAGCCTCTATCTTTACTCCTCACTAAGATATTAACAGTGATGAAGGAGAAACTTCAAGAGTACTGTGCAACAATATATTCGAGAAGTGGTGTAAATCAGATGTGGATACTTAAAAATTCCAAGGAACCTTTGGAAAATTTGAAATCACAAGATTTTACCAAAATCAACAGCTTAAAAACTTACGACTTTTCAACTTTGTACACAACCATTCCCACGATAAATTAAAGTCCAGGCTTTTTGATATCATTGACAGCTGCTTTTTCAATAAAAATGGAACTCGTAAATATACTTACCTTGTCATTGGTCATTTGCAAAATTATTTTGTTAAAAAACATTCTGATTGTACACACAAGTACTCTGAAGTTGACATTAAAAAGATGCTTGCGTTTCTGATTGACAATATCTATGTGGTTTTTGGAGACCAGGTCTTCCAACAATCTATTGGAATTCCTATGGGTACCAATTGCGCCCCGTTATTAGCAGACCTTTTTTTGTATTCATATGAAGCAGAATTTGTCCAAAATCTTGTACGTGAAAAGAAGAAAACACTTGCTGTGGCCTTCAACTCGACATTTAGATATATCGACGACGTATTGTCAATTAACAATGGCTATTTTCATTCTTATGTCGATACGATATATCCTTGTGAACTTGAGATAAAAGATGCCACAGAGTCTGACACATCTGTTTCATATTTGGATATTTTACTTGAAAAAGACGTTAATGGTAATCTAACAACCAAGCTTTATGATAAAAGTGATGACTTTAACTTTTCAACCGTCAGCTTCCCTTACTTATGCAGCAATATACCTTCATCACCTGCATACGGGGTATATATCTCTCAGTTGATTCGATATGCAAGAGCATGCCCTACGTATGTACAATTTCTAAAACGAGGTAAATTATTGACAAATAAGTTGATGAAACAAGAATATCAGCTGTCTCGTTTAAAGTCATCATTTCGTAAGTTCTATGGTCGATACAATGACCTTGTCAGCAAATACAATTTATCATTGAGTCAAATGCTGACTGACGTTTTTCATACTAATTGTTAGGCCATTATTTACACACTGAATTGTCGACGGATTTTTCCGTTATTTCCCGATCATGACAAGGAGCACACGGCGGGTGTGACCGGTCGGCAAGGGATGCTCACTCCTCCATGGCACCTGATCCCACCTCTGATGTTTGGAGGTCCGTGTTTGCTCTGCTCCTATTTTTGTATTGTATAATGGACTTTTGAGCTTGAATACTGTTCGTTATCTCCATATATTTCATCCACATATTTCATTCAATGGACTTTTCATCCTTATCTTCATATTACATGCATTTATCATTGACTGGCAAATCAGGTGACCAAATAAAATGCAAAACAATGTGGAGTTTTCTTTTCTATTTTAATCTATATGAATTCCATGTAATAATATAATAACTTTACAGAAATAAATTCACGTATACAAAATGTTTTCTATTTATACACTTCTTAATTTTGTTCAATTCTTCAAAGTAACAGTGCTGCAAATGTCACATTGGCAAAGAAGATTTTTATATGCTTAGATTAATCAACAAATAAGGTATTTTTCTTAAAGTGTAAAACTGTGCAAGGTTCCGAAATTACAATTCTGTTATAGTGAACAAACAGTTTGTCAGTCATGCTCAGTTTTCAATACTGCAAGATTGCACCCTTATTCAAATTTAAAATTTAAGCAATAAATTGTTTCTACATATATTCTAGTTTCTTGACATTGCCGCTTCTTTAAATATAATCCGCAGGATATTGTTAAAATTTCAAGTAATTCTGCTTAAAATCAAATATGAACGAACTTTTCCAAGTATTATATATATTTCCTAAGAAATAATCTCAATTTCATAAAAGCAACAGCAAATTTCAAGTAAGGGAATGAATAATTCCTTTACCTAAATAAAAAAAAGTCAACATTTATGAAGCGCTTATACTTGCGAAAAGATTGATTGATTGTTGTTTTACGTACCGTTTGAGAATTTTTCACTCCTATTGAGACGCCACCACTTGCCGGTGAAGAGCTGCAAATTTTGACCTATACTTAGCACTCGGGACCACACTTTATACGGTGTCATCTGAAGGACCGATGTCCACGTCCCAGAGTGGGATTCGAACCTGCAGCTAAGGATCAACTCCTTAATCCGCGACTCTAGAACAGACGCTCTAACACTGCGCCACGCGGGCTACCCCTGGTTTTAAGGTCTCATCTGAATGACCCGCAACTTTCACTTCGCAGGTATGTTAAAGCAGTACCCAGATCATATTTCGGCGAATTTAGACTTTTTTCGTAAAATTTAACATTGATAAATCGGAAAAACCATAGATAAAACATTTACTATTATTATCCATTGTATAGACGTCATTGAGTCTTAGGCTAAAAGAAGCACTCCACTACGACGTCATCACGTGACGTCTATAAATAGAAAAATTGCCTTAATGAAAAGGTGAAAAGTTCAACAATACCCCGGAGATAATTCATTTCTTTTAGTGAAAATAATTATGTAAAAACATCACTGGGCCATGAAAAGTGCTGCTAGAATCCTACTCTCCTGACACAGAAAAAAATATTCCAAAGTTTCGCATGAAACCTTACCAAAATTTTTACATTTTATACATACGATCAAGGAATTTTTATCAATTCATGTTAACCACATGATTCTAGCAGCACTTTCCAAGTACTATAGAATACAAGCATTCGATACAAACAAAAATTATATTTCAAAGTATGCGGCGTAGTGTTGAACTTTTGCATCTTTGTTGTTATAGAGCGACAGAGGAACGGCTGATCGGGATTTCAAAGCACTGACTATGTTCATTATAAGAAAACATGATAAAAATATATCAGCGTACCTGATTCTTAATCTTTAATTCCTTATGAATCACACATAACATTCATGGTATATGCCTTAAAACTCCCATTTCATATATTTGTTTACATGAATTATCATTTCACTCGGCAAATATTTGATCAATAGTTATGACGTCATGGATTTGGTATTTAACCCCCGTGCTAAATAATTAGCTATTTATACCACCCAAAAACGACAAGATTTAGTTTACGTTATGTTTTGACCTGAAATTAAACTTTAAAGATAGATATTATGAAATCATTATTTCTATAGTTCACGTCATACAGCTTACTATGACGTCATATTGTGAAGGCAAGTAGGATATCTCTGGGTGTAGCCTTAACATACCCGCGTTTAAAGTGCCGAACCCTTGGCGAAAGAACGGTTGATACCTATCTTTTTATAGACTTAGGTCGGTCTTGGCCGTGATTCAAACACACGACCTTCCGATCACAGAGCGAGCGTTTGCATAATGACGTTTTAACGAGTTACCTCAACATAACACATGCCAATCTTGTACACAATTCATAACAATCTCTCTATAGCACTTAATTCATGCATATTTTACACTGACATGAATATAAAATAAGAATAATTGATTTTCTAGACATATACACTAATTAACAATTTTCATCAGTTACATGTTTCATCTCATGGGCATATGGATACATGAGCCTCAAAGGAAAAATAATATGACCAATTTCACACCAAGTGTTTGATATGTTGCACTCTTTCGGAAACCAAAGATCCAATACTGCGACAGCAACGAATTGTGAGCTGTATCTACACAAATCCAATAAGGTCGGAACCCAAACTCTATGTAACGTAGGGAATGTTTATTATGGTTAATGATATTTACACAGCAATTATTTTAATCATCTTTTAGGATGTGAATCGTATTGTCTGTAGTGATTCCTTTTGAACTTTACCCTTTATTTAGTGGAGCAGGAGTTTTCCCAATATATATGAATCTTAGTTTTCCGGCCTGATTGACTATATCTACTGTTTTAGCCCCATGGTCAGCAACACAAATATCAGGATTCCTGTTCTCACATAGGTATTTATCGGCAATACCAGATGAGTATAGAGGATTATCATTGTCATCAAACTGAATGGATTCATCTCTGTTGAGCCAAAGTATCGAACCACTTTTGATTGTTTGTTGTCATCATTTTCCATTGTAACCAGGAGGACCCCAGAGGAGATGCTACAGCACCTAGAGGTTTCCAATTCTGTAGTTTCATTACTTCTTGTCTCTCTTCATTTTTCACAATATTCCCAGTTCTATCCTTCTTATCAGCATAAATGAGATCACCGCCTTTGTTTTATTTTGAGTGCAAATCCTCATTAATGCTATATATGTTCATGATATTGTGATTTTGACAGTCATATCTTTTCATCACCCAGATAGGCAATATTTATTCATAAACCTAGACATACTTTATTTTTGTGCTGAAAATCACTGGTTTATTTAGAAGCATTTTGAAAAAAAATTTCTGGTAATGTCTGTTTGACTTAAGGAGGGGAATACCTTTTCGATGGTTTTGGTGGGACAGGTGGACGGGATGGAACTTCTGGGGAATTCTTTTTGACTGAACGAGAGGATCCAACTTCTTGTGATTTCAATAAGACTTGAGAAATTGATCCAAGATCTGTTGATTGTTGACTTTAGGAAGGGCTCCAGCTGCTGGTGACGAAACGGATCTACCTTCTGTTGGTCCTTCTATTTCCTTCATCCTGTAGCCATGCTTTTCTGATGTAAGATTAAATGGCGATAACGTTCCAAACAATTTTGAAAATAATTCTTCTTGAATTTTACCTTGATTGAATTTTGGTACAGAAGCGACAATTTTCGGTAAAAGCTTTTTTTGCTGATCTGCGTCGAAGCTTACTTCAAAAATTTTTGAAATGTCATTAGCGTCTACAGCTTTATCAATTACACCAATTTCATCATTAATCTCGGAAATTTTTTCGTTGATTTCCTCGAAATGGTTTTGCAAACTTTGCATCTGTCTGTTTTTCATTTTCTTAACTTCAGCCTTAGATTTATTGAAATGTTCGTCAATTTTTTTGTGCAAGTTATCTTTATGTATTGTCATGGCTGTTGAAAGGTCTTCATATTCCTTCTCTAACTGATCTATTCTGTTTTGTACACCAGCTGCAATGTCCTCGAAAGTAGGACTAATTTTTTCCTTTAATATACTTTTGTATTTTTCAATTTTCTCTTTTTTGTCTTATCTAGAATTTCCAAAATTTTTGCATATTTGTGATGGCAGTGTTCATCAGATGCCAGGCAAGTGTTACAGACAGGAAGTTTACAGTTTTTACAGTACATCTCACAAAGTTCTTTCTCATGGGAGGCACATTCAGGGTATATAGGAGTGGACTCAAATGTGCCATGTCTATGGTAAATAGGAGTGTACTCAAATGTGCCTTTTCTATGGTAAATAGGAGTTGACTCAAATGTGCCTAGTCTATGGTAAATAAGAGTGGACTCAGATGTGACTAGTTTGTGATCCTCATATGAAATGTGATGATTTCCCGCACAGAACATGCAAAGCTTGGTGATGCATTTTTCACAGACAACCTTTACCATATCTTTCTTACATAAGTCACACCATGCCACGTCATGAGAACTTGCGTGGTGGTCCATAACTAAATTTCCGTAGATCCTGTGGCTCTGAAAATAAGATTTTTTTTTGTTTTTTAAACACAATCATTGACATGGTTTTTCCCCATTAATATTGATAAATTTACGATAATGTTCATATTAGTGTATTTTCCTTTTCATCACTCTTGATTCACTAGTATTAGTCATGAAATTTAAATATAAGCCACTCCTTGTAGAGATTGACAAATGTAGTAGAGTCTGCTACTTTAGAGATTTTAACCAGTCACGGTGGCTTAGTGGAAGTCACGGGTCTTTCAGATGAGAACTTAAAAACAGAGGTCCTGTGTCAAAGTAGGCATGTGCCGAGTGAAGGTCTTAATTTGAATTCCTTCACCGGTATACGACGATATCTTTATATGATTGAAAAAATCCCGAATTGGACGTAAAACAATTTGAAGCAATCGATCATTCAATTTTGAATGCAAAGCATACGCTTTTACGGAAGCCATTTTAAGTGACAAAAATAAACATTGCCAAATAATATTTTTACAATAAACAAGCTTCATACTACTCTCTAGTAGAGCATGATCAAAGGTATTCTGGTGTATAAATTTGACACACCATACCTTAGACTTTAATATTTTGACCTTCAACTACAATAGAACTATTTAGATTTGACAATTAAGTGAATTATTTTTCATTCATTTATTAAAATGTGAAATTCCCAGTTATGTCAGTCACTGACTGAATCTTTAAGCTTTGTTATGGTTCCCTTACACATTCGAGGGAATTCCCACAACTCAGTAGAGAAGCTTTGTGTGGTAAGACCGTGTGAGAAGGTAAGAATCTCTATAATTGCATTATACCAAAGTATTTGAAGCTTTTGGCAAATATTGAGTTATTACATAAACTAATCATTTCTAAATTAGGTATTTGAATCAAGTTTAAAAATGTGCACTACCTAAAATTATAATTAAAATCAGTATTTGATATTTAACAAATATTCACAGCTCAGAATTCTGAGGATGGAAATAATAATTACTATTGATGAATATGACTATCTTTCCTTCATTTCGTCCTTTATGTTTTAATTAATAGGTTTTTAATGTTTTATATGCATTGATTTGAACATCTGATCTGGTTAAAAGTGACAGTTGCATTGACACAGGAGGCGCATACGACTGCGTAAAAAGAAATCCTAGTTTTAGCTCAACTCTACAGAAATGCATGTTAACGCATAAAATATTTTCAGAAATTATCAGGTCATAGATTTCAGATAAATAATGGGGGTCAGCAACTTTTATATAAACATTTTAATTTACCTGATCATTCAATTTTGTCAATGAAAGTTAGAATTCTGGAAAAGATTTACCACCACACAAACAGTCCATCACTGAGTACACCTTTCCGTAGACAACGAGAAGAATTTTGGATAAGAAAACTAGGGACAGCCTTTCCCTATGGATGTAATGACAATGTCGGTAGTGTTGGAAATCTTTCCAGTCCACAGTGTAACAATGTCAATGTGATGGGACTTTTTAACCATACACAGAGACGTAAGCGTAGTCATGGGCATCGGTGTTACAATAAACCTTTAATACACGATGTCTCTTTTGATTCATTACTACCTTACGTAAATCAACAGTTAGGGTTACATCATATTCGCACCAAACTTTACTCTGTCCCTTTGAAACTTTTAAATAGTCTTCTTGAAAAAGTCCATTTTTTGATTCCTCGACACCAGAATATAGGCTCCGATCTGTAGTTATGGATATTGCCAATCATAGGCTTTTTAAACCCCCGCGTTTTACTGAAGAAAATGCAGCTAAAACAATCCGTTTTTTCCTTAAGCTTCAATATGCCAACAAAGGAATTGACGCGGTTAATATAAGTAATATCCTTAATCACAAAAGGGTCCAGTCTTGTATTCCATCATATTTCAAGTTAAAGACTACACCTTGTATTTCCTACAAATATACATCGACTTTTGCTTCCAAACTTTTTAATTACAAGAAAACTTTACAGGGCCTGGATATCGAATATCTGAAGCATAATCCTCCATCGTGTTCATGTTCTTCTTCGCCCTATAACTATAGTCCTGCTGGACACGTTATTACTGGTGACGTAAATATAGTTAATAATGAGGATCTTAGATCACTAATTTTAAAAGGTCCTAAATTTAGGGAACCAAGATCCTTCAACTGGCGTCGGAATTTCATAAATATTATGTATTCTGTAGAGGACTACGCCAGGCGATGGACCAGACATGAAAAAGAAGACCTTGACACTTTGTCAGAATGGATTAAATGTATCAGATGTATGTTAAAATCGCGCATTAAAAGATTGAGAGGCAATATGAAAACCATCTATCCTTCTGTATTCAATAATCCAGAAGTGAAAAAAGAATTAGATAGATTACATGATCAGTACGTAATGGTCCCTGCTGACAAAGCAGGTAACAACATTGTCTTTGTTTGTAAGGCTCATTATATTAAATGTATTTTAGAGGAACTTGGATTTAATTCTACAAGTGGTAATCCAACTTATACTCATAGTTCCCTTTCTAAGGAAGAAATTCTTCAAAATCATATTTTTAATATTCCAAACAACCAAAATGAATTTGAATTACCATATTTATATTGGATTCCGAAACTTCATAAAAATCCTTACAATCAAAGATACATAGCGGGTTCCAGTAAATGTTCAACAAAGCCTCTATCTTTACTCCTCACTAAGATATTAACAGTGGTGAAGGAGAAACTTCAAGAGTACTGTGCAACAATATATTCGAGAAGTGGTGTAAATCAGATGTGGATACTTAAAAATTCCAAGGAACTTTTGGAAAATTTGAAATCACAAGATTTTACCAAAATCAACAGCTTAAAAACTTACGACTTTTCAACTTTGTACACAACCATTCCCACGATAAATTAAAGTCCAGGCTTTTTGATATCATTGACAGCTGCTGTTTCAATAAAAATGGAACTCGTAAATATACTTACCTTGTCATTGGTCATTTGCAAAATTATTTTGTTAAAAAACATTCTGATTGTTCACACAAGTACTCTGAAGTTGACATTAAAAAGATGCTTGCGTTTCTGATTGACAATATCTATGTGGTTTTTGGAGACCAGGTCTTCCAACAATCTATTGGAATTCCTATGGGTACCAATTGCGCCCCGTTATTAGCAGACCTTTTTTTGTATTCATATGAAGCAGAATTTGTCCAAAATCTTGTACGTGAAGAGAAGAAAACACTTGCTGTGGCCTTCAACTCGACATTTAGATATATCGACGACGTATTGTCAATTAACAATGGCTATTTTCATTCTTATGTCGATACGATATATCCTTGTGAACTTGAGATAAAAGATACCACAGAGTCTGACACATCTGTTTCATATTTGGATATTTTACTTGAAAAAGACGTTAATGGTAATCTAACAACCAAGCTTTATGATAAAAGTGATGACTAACTTTTCAATCGTCAACTTCCCTTACTTATGCAGCAATATACCTTCATCACCTGCATGCGGGGTATAGATCTCTCAGTTGATTCGATATGCAAGAGCATGCTCTACGTATGTACAATTTCTAAAACGAGGTAAATTATTGACAAATAAGTTGATGAAACAAGAATATCAGCTGTCTCGTTTAAAGCCATCATTTCGTAAGTTCTATGGTCGATACAATGACCTTGTCAGCAAATACAATTTATCATTGAGTCAAATGCTGACTGACGTTTTTCATACTAATTGTTAGGCCATTATTTACACACTGAATTGTCGACGGATTTTTCCGTTATTTCCCGATCATGACAAGGAGCACACGGCGGGTGTGACCGGTCGGCAGGGGATGCTCACTCCTCCATGGCACCTGTTCCCACCTCTGATGTTTGGAGGTCCGTGTTTGCTCTGCTCCTATTTTGTATTGATTAATGGACTTTTGAGCTTGAATACTGTTCGTTATCTCAATATATTTCATCCTAAGAATTTCAATCACAGTGCTAGGATTTATAAAAATTCTCAGTATATTCTTAAGTTTAAAAAAAATCACTTAAGTTATATATTCTTTTTACTTTAGTTCCTTAAGTTAGTATTACTAAAATTTGGTAGAAATACTTAAGTGTAATTCACAAACATATTTAGAGTTTCAATATTGACTTGAAGTTAAGCGTCCTCAAGAGGTGTCTTAAGTAAATAAGAAATACTCAAGTTTTCTTTATCAAAATAAAAATAATGGCGCACAGAAAAATCTTCATCTTTCATTAGGAAACCATGCTATTACATCTAACTAGAAACTCTTTTTGACTTTTAGATATTTATCATTTCCAGGATGCAAGTGTGCAATGTTGATGACATAGCTGGACATTTCAGTAGTGATGTAATACAAGTGGAACTAAATACCTCCATCACAAAATAGTGCGCTTTTTGTTCGGAAAATTGAATGTGTTGCTAGGGTGACTTAACTTAAGTGCTCTAATTTAAACTTAGCTAAGAATTGCACTTAGAATTTGTATGAATATAACTTAAGAATTTCTTCTTAACTAAGAATTTACTTTATAATTTAGAGTGAACTTAAACACGAATCTTGAGTATTTTTATGAATCCCAGCACAGGATTTTTTTTTCTAAGTACGCAAAGAAACGAAATAAGAAAGATACCGGCCAAAATAAACGAAGTTGGCAAAGTGACACTAAAAATATGATTTGGAAAAGGGGAGAAAATAATCATAAATTTCGGAGATCTATTAACTATTATTAGATAAATCTACATGTTTATACTTTAACCTTTTTTCTTGTTGAATATTAAAATGAAAATTAATAAGATATTTCTTAAATTGTCATCATAATTCATGAGGAATTAATTAAAAACTAATATTTTTAAATAAGTGTATTATTTCAAAAATCTTAACAAAAGATCTTTATCGACATCAGAGATTGCTTCGGTCGGTAGGAAATTGTAACACTTCAATTCGTAAGGAAAGATGATGCAAATATCATAAAAAAACAAGTAATATATATATATATATATATATATATA